GTGCCGGTATCATTGAATTTTTTTTTTTTTTTTTTACATTCCTTTAAATAATTTTTTCTTTGTCTTTTTTTTTTTATAAACAAAAAAAAAAAGAAAATTATAATTTTTTTTCCGTGAAATTTCGTTTACTCAAAATAAATCACTGGATTTTGATTTTATATACGAGATAAACAACACTGAAAAATTTTATTTATTTAATTTGTTCAAAAGTCAAATTGTTTTTTTAAACGGAAGATAAGATAACGGAAAAAAAAATATTATAAGCATATTCACGACAAAAAGAAGAATTTTGATGGCATCAATTAGAAAAAATGAACAAGATAATCTCAACCTGCCAGTTATTATTAGTTTGGTGGTTATAGTTGTTATAATAATTTCTGTGAGTTTACTAATTAATCGATGGTTGAAAAATAAGAAAAGTGTACTGGTAAGAATATTTTTTTTTTTTTTTTTTTTAAGAGGAACAAAAAGTGCATGTGTATTGATATCAATTTAACAAACTTTCTGAACATATAGCCTGTGGAAAATTCGAATAAGTTAGGAGAACCAACAAAGAAATTCGATAATATAACGCAATTAATAATACCAAGGCCAGTATTTAATAAAGAGACAACATTGCCAGTGTATCGAAAGTCCGACACGTGGGAAAGGTATCTCCAGATGATACAAACACCCGAAAAGCTAAATGATGTTGTACTATCAATGAAAATCGATAATAAGTCTATCCACTCGAGAAATGACAGTAATAATTCTAATAATTCTTTGACAACATAAAAAATTGTAAAAAGTCTTATTTGTATTTTAATTTTTATTCTTACCACAATTATTTTTGAGATTATTTTTAATGGTTCAATATAGTGACGTAATTTTTTTTTATAATGTAATATTAACGTATATATATCAAATGTAATAATAATATCAGATATGAAATAAACCAGATTCTTAACGTATGAATCGTTTGTCCATGTGAAATTAATGAATGCAAATAAATAATATGAAATGCTTGCATAATATCAAGCTTAATTTTTATCCCCAATTGAATCAATCATTGAATTAAAAAAATTTACATTGTTTCACGTTATGATACAAATTTTTTTTATTTATATTGTCAATAAATTAATGCCATTATACAACTATATAACAATTTATACACGTTATTTCATTGATCGGCAACGCATTTTATCCATTTTGTGAGACTTATGCAGGAAGGTTGAAACCGTTTTGAACAAGACCTTGAAACTTATCCTTTTTTATAAATACATAATAATTATATAATTTACTTTCCTACATACAATATATATTGTAGGTTTTAATTCAAACGAACTCGAATGATTACAGAAAATCATTTTAATTTTTGTTGACTTAAATGAGACTCATTTTATCCGGATGAAACTCAGCTTGCTTACA